AATTTTACACAAAGTCGTCAAAGGAATCAGGTAGCACGCGAAGGTTGGCCCGCAGCCAGTCCCAGCTACCGAATGCTTATACCTGGATTTAGTGAGGATGATAAATTTTGGACAGAGGGATAGTATCAACAACAGCCCCCAAAATGATTTGGACATTCTCTCACAGACAGCAAACGTAAAGGAGGCTTCCAGAGAGGTCCAGATAGTACAGACTGGCTGAGAGTAACTGATGATATACTGAAGTTTATGTAATGAAGATTCAAGTTTCGTGTTAACATTTAATTGGCATTTTACTTCATTCAGTCAGTTAGTTAAGTGCCTTAATAAAACATATATTGGTTGCACAGAGGGCCCATTGAAGAGGAGATATTACAACCATACTACTTCTTTTAGACTCGAAAGCCATCGAAATTGTGCACAATTGGCAAATTGTGTTTGGAGGTTAAAAGAAGTTAATGATAGAGTTCCACACATGAAGTGGAAAATCAGCAAAAAGGTAAAGCCGGGCAGAGTCTGAGGAAACTACTGTAAGCTATGTCAAGAAGAAAAATTGAAGATCGCTACATATTTAAACAAGGTTGAACTGCTAAATAAAAGATAGGAGGTGGTATCTAAGTGCAGACACCTTGGCAAATATTTTTTTGTGTATGTACGAACCTGGATGAAAATATTATGTTGCTTTTCTTCTCGCCTTTTCCCTCTTCCTTTTCACCTTCCTCCCTTTCTTCGTATATAATGGTGGCGGAGTCAACTAAAAATTTTCACTCTACCTGCCTGAGGAGAGCTAACGGTTGAAACCTGGGTAGCATGAAAGCTTGAATTTTGGTGTTCCTGATTATATATATATATATATATGTGTGTGGCTGAGTGGTTAGAACGTTCGATTTGTCAGGGAGGAGATTTGCTGATGTGCGGAAAGTTGACCCAAGTCCTGTGAGTGAAATTGTGGGCCGTCGATAGCTGTGCTAGCAGGAAGTCACAAGTCATCGTGACCGATGTTTTGAGCGTGCTGGCCTTGATCAGATTTTTGATCACACTAGATAACATGCTCTCACAGAACCTTTAATAGTGGCAGTAGAAACCTCAAGTGGGATCTGTGGGTGTGGAACAAACACAAAATGCGCCTGAGCAAACGTCAGCAATAGGGAGCTAACCGCCCTAGTAGACGGGTATCCTCGTATACGAGTGGCTAACTATGCCTACAGGAAAAAATCATAATGTTTAGTCAATAAGTAATGCTGATGAATTATTGAATCTAAGGAACAAACTTATCTTAAAGTGTAGACTCAAGAAGAAATTCAAAATTCCCTAAAAACGTTGATTTTGGAGAATATTAAATTTGAAGTCTTGATTCTGTTTTATATGATTACTAACATGTGTATATATATTCACATTTTGTATATGATGATTTATGTGATTTTCTTGCCTACATCAGTTATAATCTTAAATTATTAATTAATTTTTATATTAATTTGATAATATTATCGTTATTAATATTATCGTTGTTGTTTTTGTTGTTATTATTATATTTATTACCCTTATCTATCTATCTATCTATCTATCTATCTATCTATCTATCTATCTATCTATCTATATATATATATATATATATATATATATATATATAAATGAACATAGAAGTCAACACTTAGAGGCGACAGTCTGTTTCATGCTAGATGCAATCGTCAGGTCTGAATGGGCATAACTATTGAGTTTAGCCTTAAGATCGCTAAGAGATTCGACAGAGTGAGGGACAAGTCTACAAACCTGTGCATATAGAACTCCGAGAAAATTTTCTCACGGTCAGGCATCGATAATGGAACACAAAAATCCAAACCATGAGCCAAGATACGAGTCTCCAAATTGGAAGGCTCATAAGATGAATAATTAAAGATAATTCATTCCCCAGTAGGTTCATCACTGCATCCAAACTGTTTACAAATTAAGTAATTTAATTTTTTTTCAATTTTTTAACGCTACAATCATTTGAATAATGAATATATATAAAGTTGAATTTGAATATATATAAAGTTCTTTAAATTTGTTTTTTATTTATCTCTTGATTTATTTAATTAATTTTATGTATCTTTATATATTTTAATTTGATATATATTTTAAACTTTTTATTTTTATTTTATTTAGCTTACTTTATTTTATTGACAGCGAATATTATTATTATTAATAATAATAATAATTTGAAATTGTGATGATTATAATACGATGATGATTTTTTTGCTGTCTGAAATGACATGACTATTAGACATTACTGTATGTATTAATTCTGATCACCCCCTCCTTTAGAGAAAAAATTTATTTCACTTGATCTAAAATTTATTTTATCTAAGTGATCTAAAACTTTCAGAAAACCAGCCATCTTGGGAGTTAAAAAAACAACTGGGCATTGCTCGTTGTGTACTATTCATCATGTCAAGAATTTAATCTCTCATCGATTCCTTTTTTTCTTGACTAGTTTTTCTTTGTAATGGTCGTGTTTGCTGATAATACGAACGCTTCTTTTCCACGTCTAATATCCGTTCTCCTTTAGTTCACTGTATCTGTTTTAACACTGCCCGTATAATTCCCTTTCAGATTCAGATCATCTACGAATTTGTCGTATTACTATTTGGGTGCAACGTCAGCACTCTTTAATTTCTCTAACTTCACTCTAAAGTTAAATATTACTGGAGAATAGTCGCTGCCGCAGTCGACACTTGGATATATGTTTTACAATGTAGAACTGCGTTTCTAAATCTCTTACTGATTGTTAATTTTTGTAATCGATTTCACCCCAAACGAGGCAGTAAAACTCAAAGGGTTATTGGGTATGGAAGAATTAGGAACGGAAAAATTACTAATAAGCAATAAGAGGATAGAGTAATTAGGAGAACACTAAATAGTTATTGGCATTGCACTTAAATTTTTGCAGATTAAAGTTGGCTGGAAAGGTTGGAGCTGGAAGGGAGTTCCAAAAGTGAGACACAAGAAGAGAGACTGCATAAATCTTACGGTTACATGTAACCAGCACAACTGTAAATTGATGACATCTCGACACCAGTCTAGTACTACAGTTAAATTTTAAAAGTTTAGGTACTATAGTGAAGTGCTCATCCGAAAAATGTAGTTGATTTTGTTCTTTTCCCCCTTCATGTGCTTCTCCATGTCTATATTCCACTTGGATGTTCTTGCAACCAAGTGCTGACTACAACCTGATCGTTCGTCAAATTTATATAATTAAAAAATGTTTAGACAAATCAAAATAGGAACCCTGAACGTGTATATATTTCTATCATCGAGTTACAAAGTTATTTATGCCTTTACTATAAAACTCTAAAGTTTTGGCACCAAGGAATCGTTGAATTCAGTTTCTTCATTTTCTTTGCAACGGATTGTCTTTTGACTTAAAAAAAAGTTGTGAAGATGCTTGATAAAGTGTTAGTGGAAAAGAGATCAAGGGAATATGATGGGTGTGGCAAAGTCACGTATACAAATTCGGTGAGATTTTGCTGTGTCGTTCATGACAACACGTAGCCAAGCAAAACTGAATCTTGTCGATTTTTTTTTAAAGTGAATGTGCATTTCATCCAGTTGCTGGCAGTGAAGTCCGGTGGTGGTGCTCTGGTTAGATTCCAGAAAGCTGTAATAGATAACACCAAAGGCAGACCACGGATCAGTCACTATAATCACCTGTCGGTGTAATTCCGGTTTTGGAAAGTGTTTGGATCCTTCGTCATGATCCAACTATTGAGACAATCGTTTACAAGTGTCATAAAGGATCCATTTCATATCAAACTTCTGTATTCGATCAAGAAATAGATTGTTCGAATTTCGTAGATGCAGCATCAAACACACTTCAAGACGTCCAAATCTATCTTTCACTAAATTCACGTGGAACTGATTTATCGAATTTATTCACCTTGCCAATTTCTATGAGATGGTATTTTTGAAATGCTGATACCCATTATCTCAGACATTTCTCTGGGACTTTGATGTGGGTTTTGCTCGACTAGTATTTTCAGATATTGATTGTCAATTGCAGATAGACGTTCTCTACCACCTTGAGCTTCAAGACTCGTATTGCTACTACAGAATTTCAGAAACCAGTTCCTTACTGTCTTATCAGAAGTGGAACTCTCACCCCATGATCTGATAATTCTTAGTAGTAGTTTGTGAAGAATTATGACTGATATGTTCCGGAAAGGGATATATTTAATCGAAGTAGCTAAGTGGGTTTGGTTACTGTAAACAAGTAGTACACGGTAGCAGTAATCAACTGGTACTCGTCGTAGTCGCAGGTAATAGGTGTAGACCAATAGGATAGCCAATGGCGTAGTCCAATGGGTGTCGTCATAGACTTACACTCTGTCGTACCTACACGTCCGTCTGTATTTATGACGGACAACAGCCAATCATAATTCAGTGGGGGGGGGGAACACATGTGTATGCATATTCCATTATATCAATGACGAAGCTGGAACTCATGCAAAAAAGGTACACCCATCTCTTATTATTTTTATGTTCAGGATGAGGAGAATATAATGGTATAAGTTAAATTCTGAAAGAGATTGATATAAATTTAATAAAGACTATAGTTTCATCATTAGGAATGAGTAATATATTTTTATGCAACAATTATAATAATATATTAGAAGAAATAAAATGTTTATTCTAAAACCGGATATTATTTCCTGAACAACCTCATAAGAGGATGGATTAGAATTTAAAAGCTTTCGTGGACAGATCTGGAGAATAATATCTTCCTTGTTCATCATGATTTATTAGAATCTGGTGTTTAGGGCTGCATTAAATTGAATGTTATCTGAAATTAAAATGTCGTTGAAGAATTGCATTTAGGAGAGAATGCGGATAAAATCATTGTCAACAGAATATCAACATACTCAATACAAACAAAGACATGCTCAAAGTTTATAGAGATTAGTTCATGAAATAGCCAGGGACTTAATTTTAAGTAAACTTTCCTTGGGTAATGGCGACGGATGTAGCTATGTGAGAAGGTCCGAAGGGGTATTTTCGACATTTCGTTTATTAGAAAGAAAGAAAGAAAGAAAGAAAGAAAGAAAGAAAGAAAAAAGAAAGAAAGAAAGAAAGAAAGAAAGAAAGAACGAAAGAAGAGATTCAAGTGATAGAAAAGACATATAGGCGTTAGTAGGACTTACCAAAGATTTTGACAGAATAAATATTATAATGAAAAGAAAGAAAGAAAGAAACAAGCAATAAAAAACAAAGTAGTAAAAAAAAAGAAAGAAAACGTTTAAGTGACACATAAAACTATAACATATGAAAGTTATCATGAATTACTAAAGACATTTGTTTACAATGATTATCGTAATGAAAAGAAAGAAAGAAAGAAAAACGGAAAGAAAGATATTCAAGTGATACAGAAGACTTTAACATATGAAGGTTAGCATGAATTACCAAAGACTTTTGGACAGAATGATTATTATAATGAAAAGAAAGAAAGAAAGAAAGAAAGAAAGAAAGAAAGGTATTCAAGTGATACAGAAGACTATAACATATGAAGGTTAGTATGAATTACCAAGGACTTCTGGAGAGAATGTTTATTAATAGTGAAAAGAAAGAAAGAAAGAAAGAAGGTTAATATGAATTACCAAATACTATTGGACAGAATGATTATTTTAATGAAAAGAAAAGAAAAGAAGGAATGGAAGAAAGAAAGAAGAAAGAAATTCAAGTGATACAGAAGACTATAACTTAGAGAGGTTAGCAAGAATTACCAAGGACTTTTGGATAGAATGATTATTATAATGAAAAGAAAGAAAGAAAGAAAGAAAGAAAGAAAGAAAGAAAGAAAGAAAGAAAGAAAGACATTCAAGTGATACAGAAGACTATAACATATGAAGGTTAGCATGAATTACCAAAGACTTTTGGACAGAATGATTATTATAATGAAAAGAAAGAAAAAAAGAAAGAAAGAAAGAAAGATTCAAAAGAAAGAAAAAAAACAAAGAAAGGAAAGCAAGAATTAAAGACATTGGATAAATGATATAAGAAGACTATAACATATGAAGGTTTAGCATGAATTACCAAAGACTTTTGGACAGAATGATTATTATAATGAAAAGATAAGAAAAGAAAAGAAAGAATGGAAGAAAGAAAGAAAGAAAGAAAGAAAGAAAGAAAGACATTCAAGTGATACAGAAGACTATAACATAGAAAGGTTAGCAAGAATTATCAAAGACTTTTGGATAGAATGATTATTATAATGGAAAAAAAGAAAGAAAGAAAGAAAGAAAGAAAAAAAGAAAGAAAGAAAGAAAAAAGAAAGAAAGAAAGAAATTCAAGTGATACTGAAGACTATAACATATGAACATTAGCATGAATTATCAAAGACTTTTGGACAGAATGATTTTATAATGAAAAAAAGAAAGAAAGAAAGAAAGAAAGAAAGAAAGAGAGAGAAAGAAAGAAAGAAAGAAAGACATACAAGTGATACAGAAGACTATAACATATGAAGGTTAGCATGAATTACCAAATACTATTTGACAGAATGATTATTATAAGGAAAAGAAAGAAAAGAAAGAAGAGATTGAAGTAATACAGAAGTCTATAACATATGAACATTAGCATGAATTATCAAAGACTTTTGGACAGAAGTATTATCATAACGAAAAAGAAGAAAGAAATAGGAGTCATGAATAATAAATAAGCAAATAAATAAAAGAAAGATTCAAGTGGTATAAAATTCGCTGCAATTGCTGTATAAGGATAAAATCATAGAAAAATCCTTAGGAACTTTTGACCTTTTTTCTTCGCATGAATAGAGTTCCGTTGTATCTGAGCAGATGTGTATTATGAAGATTCGAACAATTTTCACTTCTCACGATCATAGTGGGAATAAAAAACGACAAAATTGCTGGAATAATACATTTAAATCAGCTCAAAACATTCGATGTGATAGAACATTATTTTCTGGGAACGATATTTTCCCCACTCAATTCTAGTTGAAATTTTTCACCTCGTTTCGTCTTCTGTAATAGAGGAAGCATCAAAATCTTTCACCTTGCATTGCTAAATTTGTCACTATTGACCGCTTCCGACCTTTCAAATCCTTGCTCGATTAGCGCAGGTTACAGGAAATCTAAATACGATGCGTTTTCATGTTCCAGTGTTTCTATTCATGTCGTGATTAATGCCTACATTGGTACGATGCCCTTGCTTGTAACGAGGTAAAAGTGGTCGTCAAAGAAACATTTCATCCCAAGGAAGGCAATAAAGTCACTAAGACGCAAGAGGTTACTGAGTCTGAGAGAATAAGAGAACAAAATACTATTGAAGAAAGAGAGAGGGAGAGAGAGAGAGAGAGAGAGAGCGCAATAAAAGAACAAGAATTAAGAAGTCATTGCATTTAAATTTTTGAAGATCAAAGTTGAGTGGAAAGCAAGAAGCCTGAAGAGAGTCCACAAGCATGAAATGCGATGGGAGAAACTGTTAGCATTAGGCATCTATCCATTTCAACTTTCAATATAGTAGTACGCTTAAATTATTCATGAAGTCTTGGTACAACAGAGGAAAGTTCATTAGAACAATTACCATGACAGCATTTACAGAAAAGGCATAGGGAACCTACTTTACGGCTTTGGTAAAGGAACTGAAGCCAAGATGCCAGTCCAGGACCAATAAATTTCAAGATTCTTCTTTGTGTTTTATCAAGAATCTGTAAATATATAGCAGGAGCACCATGCCATTAATATTCAAAGAATGGATGAATGGTAGACTTATAAATATGTAAGATAGATTACAGCGAAAAAAAAATTAACTAGCATAACACAGCAAACCAACTTTCCTAGTAGCAGACTTAGCAATTGATTCAATGCAATCTTTCCACTTCATATCAGCGAAAAATATTAGTCCGAAAAGGCAAAATGAATTACTTTCCTGGAGGTTAGCATCAGCCATGCTGAGAGATGGTAAAAACGGTACCCTCAGACGATTAAAGGAGAGCAGTTTTGTTTTTGAGGCGTTAAAATTAACAAGCCACATCTTGCCCCAGTCACCAACAGGTTGTAGGTCTTCAACTGCCAATTTGATAACAAATCGATCAAACTTATTTTTAAGACAGGAATAAATATTTGTTTAATCAGCATAGATATCGAGTTGAGAACTGGTGATATCAGGAAGTTAATTTGTGAAAATCAATAACAACGTACAAGGATAGATCCCAGGGGATCACCTGCATTAATTTAAAAAGATCTAGAAGTGTGCCGTTCAAGATAACTTTCATTTCGAAATTCGATAAGAAAGACTGAATCAGTTCAAATATTCGTCTAGAAATACTACTTCCAACTTGTAAAGAATACCAGCATGCCAAACCCTGAAGATATCCAAAGCAACAGCCCGAGCTTAACCATTCTTATCTAATCGTTAATACATTAACAGTTAACCTAGAAGAGCGAAAGCCATATTGCTTATCTGAAAGAAATCTATGTGAGATGAGATGCTTAACCAATTTAGAGTTAATTTAGGTTTCTAGTATGTTGTCAAAAAGATAGTTAGAATGAGCAGACAGTTCACCTGATTGCTTAATGACTGGAACTATAGGATTTCAAACAAACAGGAAAGTAAGAAGCATCAAGGAATTTATTGTAGCGTTTAAAGAGAACAAGAGCCAGTTTGTGAGCACATTTCTTAAGGACACTTGCTGGAATGTCATCCAGTTTAGAGATGATAGTAGAAACCATGAACAGAGCTATATGCATAGCATTCAATAGAGACTCACTTCTAAGAGAAAAATCAAGGATACTCCAGATGAGTCAAGAATAGAATTTGAACAGAATTTACGAGCGAAATATTTTGCTTTAACATCAAAAGTTTTAACACCTCAAATTGAGTGAAGGGATAGAAGATTTACTCTTGTTTAACAGGAAGCAAGCTTGTTAGAGGCTATACAGTGCCACATTCTATCAACAAACTTAGTCTCTTTCAGGACACATTTTTAGTTATTGAGAGCTGACACAAATAGGCACCTGTTGTAATTGGAAATATCATACAGGTACACATGGAAAAGTTATTCTTGTGGGCTATAGAAGGAAACTGTAGATTCACCTGGTATTTGCTGGTAAAAAAAAGCATCAATGCCGGTTTTAAACTTAGAAGAAACCCCTGTGGCATAATTGCCAATAGAAATGTTAAGAATATCAATCCAAGAGGCATCTAGAAAAAAGTTATGAAATGAATCCCAATCAGTACGCGGGTAAGAGAAAGAAGTCTTGTGAATAGGAGGTTCTTTTATAATAGATGACATCCGAATTGCCAAGAAGACAGAGCTGTGATGCTCTACAAGAGATAGGGAAGGAGTAAGGAACAAGTCAGGCGAAGAAAAATACTGATCAGATTTATTAAGGAAGCGAGTAGGGAAATCCACTATTTGACAGAAAGACTGAGCCATGGAAAATTGAAAATCTGAATACTTGCAACATCAGTAAGATTATATTTCAAGCCAGTTCATAGGGTATTAAAATCACCAAACAAAAATATTTGTAGATGAATGCAGAGAAAGAGAGAGAGAGAGAGAGAGAGAGAGAGAGAGTTATATTATCAAAAATTTTGTTTAATATTTCTTCTTTTATGTGCTGTATCCCTTCATGACGTAGGCGATCATGCCTCTCCACATCCTCCTGTCGATTGTAGCTCTTAATAAGTTTTGTCTTTTTGTTATTTCTCCCAGACCATGTTCTGTCATCCAAAAGCCCATGAAGTATGCTTTTCCCTTTTCCATCTTTCCCTCTATCCGTCCTGTGAGTGTCAGATTTTCCAAGCATTCCTTCCTCATTTCGTGTCCAAGAAATTTCAGTTGCCTCTTCCTGATGTTAAGTATAAGTTTCCTCTTTGTTTGTATCCTCTCCAGAACCTCATCGTTGCTCACATGTTCGGTCCATATTATCCTTTGTATCCTTCTCTCGCCCCGAGTCTCTTCTTTGAAGACATTGTCCATAATTTGATGCCGTAAAGCAGGACAGATTTTACATAGCAGTTCAGTACTGTTTTCTTTGTTACCAACGGAACCCTCCTGTCTTCTAATACTCTGCCTAGTTTTTGGAAATCCCAATACATTTTCGGATCCCAGCGTCGCACTTTCCGTCCTCTGTCAGAGTAATCTTAATCTCTGTGCTTCATTTTTGTCACCTGTTTAATATTAATAAATGTTTTTCTTATAGATTTCATCGGTATCTTTTTGTTTTACTTTGTTTTATTGACCAACTTATCTACTTTATAAACTATATGAAGCATATGTGGACTATTTTTTCTAATCATGTATTTTGGGCCTCACGTTGACAACCCTCAAATCCACGCTAAAAGAAAAAAATGAAAACAACATAAAGGAACTTGACTCACCTTGACAACCCTCAAATCCATGCTAAAAGGCAAGAAAGATATAACTTAAAGAAATTTACACATACAAGACCAGACATTCCTTTTCTCACCACTCACAAACAACTAATTATTTTCCCTAAAGGACTCATTATCATTATTATTAGTAGTCTTAGTTACGGTTTTATTTCAAATGAGAAGTTCTTGGAAAGGGTCTGAGTGAAAATTCCTTCTTAATAATAGAACAATATGGAGATAAGGATGTTTTGTCCAAGTGTACGTGACACGGTGGGTTTTAGGTCGGAACTAGTAGAACTTAGGTTTGGAGCTTGTCAGAACATTTGCCATAGAAATATCATTAAATTAACGAGAGGCTTGCAGCATTTCGTCTGTGAGAAAAGGGGCTGTAGGGTGGAAAATAATTCGCCACCCACAATGCCTCTGGTCAGTGATGAATGGGCAGTTCCACTCCAGATATGAGAGCAATGCGTCGTTTCTGGTCTGATCTGCCTCCAGTAAAGATAAGGTATAATAGATGTCTAATACTTAGTGAAGCGGGATAAGAAACCGAACAAGTTTCCCACCATCTTTAGTGATGAATCGTTTACATGAGTTCCATATCAGGTCATGAATTAGGTCAGGAGTCCCAATATGTGTTCAAAAATAACCTCCTTCAGGGAACAACCATTCATCATGATAGGTGAAAGGTCAAGATCTGTTCATTGATGGTGAAACGTTACTAGTTTGGTTTTGAAGGTAACAAATGTTACAAACCAGTTCTTTCCTCGTTGCTTTCCTAGGGTTAGGTCAACGGCGG